CTTGCTCTGAAGCACTGGAGAGAGCCAGAGACAACCTGCCTGATATCCTCAAATCGGAGGAGAGAAAAACGGGGTGAGCCATTCAATGCAGCTGACAGAGGAACAGTCACGGGCTGAAAAACTCATTGCAACCAGTCGCAGGAGCGCTGAGACTGAACTGTGTGTTGCAATCAATGAAGGACTGAAGTCAAGGGTGCGCATGACTGGCTGCAAGGGCCCATCCTGCACCCGGGGCCTTGTGCACTGCCCTGTACTTCCAGCCCTGGCCCAAGGCAGGTGTGCACCTCCCAGAAGCCAGGGGCAGGGTGGTGGGGTGGGTGCTCCCAAGCAGCTGCTTGGGTCTTGTTGCTTGTGTCCCCAGCCAACTGTCCCCCTCCCAGGAGGATGGGAAAGGCAGTAAAGCCCTGAAGTATTGTCTCATAGCAGTCATCATCAGTCCTGAGTATCCCAGTGCCCTTTCTGGACATTAGGGGATGACTTTCTCTGCGGGGCAGAGCAGGATCATCATGGAGAGCCTGTCGGGGGAAGCTGAGGCTCAGCCTGATGAGTGAGTCAGGAATAGCACCCAGGCATTTGGACTCCCAGCCTGCTGCCTCAACAGCTAAGCCAGAGCCAGGCAAAAAGCCCAGGTGTTTTGCCTCCCCCAGCCCTCCCCTAAGTCTTAGCACCCAGGTCCCTTTCCCCAGAATTGTCCCCAAAAATGCTGTCTCCCTGGGGAGCTGGAGAGACAGGGAGATGCACGCAGCCAGCTCTGCCATGTTCCCTGTCCTTTGGGGTGCCTGCCTGGGCCATTTGCCCCTGCTCTTGTCCGAGTCCATCCCCAGGCAGCCGACGGGCACATCAGGGAGGGCAGCGGGGAGCAGATCCCCGATAAGCTGCTGCCAGTCACTTCCCCAGGTGACAGGAGCGCCTCTTCCCAAAGCAATCAGAGCGCGAGACAAAGCCTTCCCAGAAGGGAGAAGGAAGCCGCAGGGCTTCTACTCCACACATCCCCAAGGCACACACAAGCCCAGGGAAGATCAACACGTGTGTTTATTGGAAGCTGCAGTTTTGTGGTTTGGGGCCCTGTCCTGGGGGTGGGGGGGAGGTGAGAAAGCACCAGGTGAGGGGGAATGTGGGTCGTTAGCACCAAGTTGCTCTTTCTCCCAAAACTAACAGCTCACGCTGGGGCTCAGCATGCCCCACTCAGCCCCTCTCGGGCTCAAAGCCCTGGAGAAGCTTGCACCCCTCAGCAGCCCTTTCCCCATTGGGATCAAGGGGGAGGATTCCCACTCCACAGCACCACATGACAGAGCTGCCCCGCATCGTACAGCTGGGGAAACTGAGGCACGGAGCAGGGATGTGCCTTATTCTTTCTATCGCAGTGTCACCTAGCAGCCCCAAGCCTGGCCTGCTGTGCTCAGTGCTGCGCACATGGGAAGATCCAGCCCTGCTCCAAAGTGCTCTGAATCCAGTGTCCTACGAAGGAGATGCCACCTCCCTGGGCAGCCTGCTTCATGGCTCTTGGGTTCCCAAATCCAGCCACCCCAGTGGCTGCAGCTCGGCAGAGCACAGCACCGCTCTGCAGCAATTTGGGACCTACTAAGGGGCACTATTTGGCTATCTGGCTGAGGTATTTATAAGGCACTTATCACCTTAGTCTCCAAGTGCCAAAGCAAATGGACCGTGGAGAGATGCAAGCCCTTCATCTTCTGATGTGAGGGCAGATACCCGATCCATTAGGCCACATGTTCGCACTGCATTATGAGGGGCATTTTATGCCTTCCTCTGAAGTAGCTGTTGCTGGCCCCCATGGGGGACCGAAAGGCGAAGGTGTGGGGCTGTTAGTATGGGAAGGGCTGTGCCCTGCAATGGGGGGTGACTGTGCTAAAGCCTGGGTTACACCTCTGATGTTTCCAGAGGGGGGAGCAGGCCCTGAGTGAGAAAAGCCCTCATGCCTTTCCTTAAATAGTTCTTGTGCTTCCTTGCCTGGCAAGGCTGGCTTTGTCCAGAGCACTTGATCAATCCAGGAGAGTGAGGGGTCTGGTCTGGGTGGGGGGCAGGCCTGGGATTGCAAAGGGCATGCTTGATGATCAGAAAGTAGAGTTAAGGAGGACTGTGCCAGAGAAGTCAGGCACACTTCATGCTATGGGCGCTGCCACTGCGTCGTAGCTGCAGTGCAATCACGCAAGTTAATAATGCACATCAGTGCTGTCCCTTCGTGTAGCCAGAGGGTTTGCTCCATAGCTGAAAGTCATGACAATGCATAATTAGTGTGCCAGGGGGTGCGGTAGGAACAGCAGAGGGGGCTTAACGTGGACCTCAGCGCACCGCAAACCTCCTCTGCATGTGCACTGGCGGTGAACACATGGCGATAAGCCAAGGTGGAAGGCAACGGGGTTGCCATTGCATCCATTCCATTCTGATGGGTGACTGAGCAGGCTGGCACTAATGCTCTAATGCAATGGCTGGAGAGGGCTGGAGTTGGGTGCCCTGAACAAATGCAGAGCATTGCAAGAGCATCCTCCAGCCCAGAACAGAAGCACAGTTGGCAGACAATGACAGCAGCTCTTGCGTGGCAGGTCAGTGTCTTCCTCGTGCATTGATGAGTGAAGCGAGATGAAGTGACTGAGGTTTTACAAGGAGTCAGTTGCAAAGCAGGGCAGACTATGACATATGGTTCCTTACCTCTGCCCCCTCCCAGCTCTTACCACGAGACCTGCGTCTCCAAGAGCCAAGCATAGAGCACAGAGCCCTGACTCTCCCCTGGTCATCCAGCCTCTCTCAGTCCAACCTCTGGCAATGCACCCTCCTAGAGAGTACAATACCAGCCAGCAGCCCTGACTCCCAGACCAGGTTGGAGCTGCCCTGCACCCCCCTGCAGCCCAGTACATGTAGCTGACCCGGGGTGCCCTATGCAAGGCTGGGGGTACACTGGAGAGACCCGTGCTGGTGCAGAACCTCCTCCCTGAGCCTTTGTGACCTGCCCTGGCTTCATCTGCACGGATTAACATCTCTGCTCAGTTGCTGTCTGAGTCCTGAATTGAGCTCCTTTCTGCTGCTCCCTAGCTCAAGCTGGCAGGGGGATGATGGCTTTTGCAGCTGTGAGCTCCCTCCTGAGTGTGCTAAGTTCCCAGATCAGCACCCGGGCCCAGAGCCGCAAGGAGCACTTGAAGGGGAAGAGAAGCCCAGCAGCAGAGGACCCAGGTAGGAGATACCTAGGCTTCTGCCCCCCTACTCCCTGCGTAGCGCTGCCACTATTACCCCAACCACATGGCACCTGCCTGCTGTCTCAGGCCAGGGGCTAAAGGGATTCTTGGGAAGGGAGTGCAGGGAGAAGGGGCTGCTCCCAGGTAAGTGAACATACGTGGCTCTGGAGCGGTGAACATCCATGGTGGGCAGCGCCTGAGTTCCCCTGGGGCAGTGATCCCAAGCAGCAGTCTGTATCAGAGCCCATCACCCCTGAGAAACACTGCCCCAGCCCTAGCTTTTGGCTATGCTTGTCTGCCATTACACGTGGCCATGGGAGGTCTTTACCTGTCCCATCACAAGTCCTGCTGCAGCTGGTGTGCACCCCACTGGCAAGGCAGCCTGATGCCTGCTGCGAGTGGCACCACTGCAGTGCATGGACATGATTGCTCCTGAGGTCACCTGGCTCAGGACCATGTTGGGAGCTCCACGCTGGCTCATCCCAGCAAGAAAGAGTGCTGACGGGCAGAGTGGCTGAGCCCCGCATCCTACCCCCATGCCATGGCCTGCAAAGGCAGCACAGGGCTGCAGAGGATAGGTTACACATTCATCTGAACAAAGCGTGGCACCACCCTGCAGGGGCATCTGCATGTGGAGCAGCTTCCCAGGTCTCCGAGCAGCCTGGGAAGGAAGACAAAGTGACTGCTGTCCCTTTCCCCACCCATATAACCTAAGATGCTCCAAGACATGAGCCATCAGCCACCCCCTGCATTCTCCCCCCACCCCCAAATTCATCCGCAGCTTTCGTGTCCTGCACCCTGAACTGAGATGCTGAGCCCTGCATGAGTGGTTTTACAGCAGAGACCCTCAAAACCTGCCAGCTCAAAGCGGCAGGCACCCCCATTTCCCTTCCTGACACCCCCACCTCCCCCAGGGCAGGCTGTGTGGTGCTGAGTGCATGGGGTGGGGGGGTCCTAAACTATTCCCCAACTTGTAATAAGCCAGGTTGATCTCTCCAGCTAGGGTTCACACCAAGCCAGGCTGCCAGGCTGCCTCCCACCCCCCTTTCCCCTCCCTCCCAGGCTCCTGCTAGGTAAGGTTCCTCCTTCCTTCTCCAGCTGCTGAATGACTTGCAGGGAAGCAAGAAGGGAAGGTTCTGCCCTTCTCCGCATCGATCCTTCCGAAGCTCTCAGGGCCGGCCCTGGCAAAGCACTAGCAATAAACTGCAAGACAGCCCTGCACTCCTTCCCAGCATCTCTGCCTCTGGCAGGCGGGGGACCTCCTGGATACACGCGGGGAGCTTCATGGGTCCTGAGGTTCTCCAGTGTCTTCTTCCCCCCAGATGGGAGCACACTGCTTGGAGCCACCTTGTCTTGTAGGAAGAAGCTGCTACCAGGCTGCAGGAGGAATACAACCAAGGGAATAACCCCAGGAAAGGAGCCAGTTTCTCTCTTGGAAACGGGTGGGCAGGGGAGAGAGGGGGCCATGGAGGAGACCAACTTGGAGGCGATGAAGGTCCTGCCAGGATCCTTGTAGAGGGTGGAGAAAAAAGAGAAAGGAAGGAAGAAAGCGGATGCGCTGCCCGGCTATCTCCTCCAGGCACTGTAGCAATTTTTGTTCCAGGGACTTCAGAATCACATGTGGTGCGCAAAGTGGTTTTTTCCTGGGAGCATCAGACTAGAAGGAAGGGGACCCGGATCCTTCAGTCCCTGCCCAGGAATGGGTCAGCTTTAGAGAGACCTGGGAAGGTGTCTACAAGCGCCCATCTCTGAGGTCAATTTGAATCCAGTTTATGTATTTATCTCTTCTTTTTTTGTGTCTTGACGAGCGACATGCAGCACATCAGCCTCCAAAACCTTTCCATGTAAGCGCTTTTTTCCATCCTGCTTTCCCCACAGCTAGTTTTGTTATAGTTCTTTACAACAAGGTTTAATCAGGAGGTTATTATTAGTGCCGTTAGACACAGCTATTCATTTCTGCAAAAACAAGCTAACTCCAAAATAAAACCCTGTTTTTTTTCTCTCTCCCTCTTTCTCTTTTGTTTCCAAATGCAGATGTTTCCAGCTCCTAATGCTTTCCTGTCAAACCCAGGTACGTTTGCAGCATACTGTCTGTTTTACAACCCCCCAGTGCAACAGCGCCTGTCACATTTTTCTAGATATACTTGCTGTCCCGTTCTTTCTTTGCTACAGCCCCAAATTGTTTAAAACCACAGCCTGAAAGAGCATTCAGACCCAAAGCTCTTTTAGTCTTCTGGAAACTAGACTAATTGCTTTTTTTACCACCCCCCCCTTCCCTATAGTGTAGTGCTTTAATCCTCAGGGCGGCATGTATGGGGAGAGGGGAGTCTGTGTGTGTTGCTTGCAAAGGGATTGTTGAATGTGCTCTCAGCCTAAGTCAAAGTTTTACTTGTGCGTTCTGCTTTGCTAATGTGGGCAATGCCATGGCCAGAAGGTCTTTTAAAAAAGCTATTAGACATGCTGCAGTTGTGCAAAGGGGAGGCTCAGATCCTACAAACCTTTTACGCACGTGAGTAACTCAACCTGTGGGAGTAGCCCCCCTTGGGATAGATTCTGATCTTAGACCAGCAAGAGTTGGGAGCAACTCTGGGGCTGGTGAAACGGCACCGAGTCGGGAGCCAAATCTTGTGTGTTGCCTTTGGGAATGCTACTCACGGGAGTAAAATCACTCAGGTTGGCGTTGGCCAGCTGGGGACCAAAAGCCACAGGACTGGATAAAGATTGCATGTTCTGTAAATGGCATATGTCTGTCTAGGCACGGAGGTAGCATGCTGCTGTTGAAAGAACTGGGCCAGAGCAAAAGCACAGGTTGCATGGTAGAGGGATCAGTTTAATGAGGATGTAATTAGGGAACTGCTCGGGGAGGGGAAATGCCCTGTACAGAAATACGTGAGGCTTGGGGACTGGGGCTCATCTCCTTGCCGCCTGCGACTGTAGAGCCCAGTGCTCTGCTGCGGGATACCCTGGGAATCGTGCCACTGCACCAAGAGCCCCAGGGGATGATTTGCATCACCTGTGTATGCAGGTCACAGACTCCAGTGAGGTGCAGGGACTGGCTCTGACTCAAGGGGCGATGCTGCTTTACACCCGCTGGGTGCCTGCTTTCCGTACTCCAGGGGTTACACTCCCTGGGGACTTCAGTGGGACAACTCCTGATGAACAAGCACGTGAGAGCAGAATCGGGCCCTTGGCCTTCCAAACCCGAAGTGAGCACAGCCAGCCCCCGCCCTGTTATAGATGCAGCATCCCTTTTTGTGAGCCCGATAAAAGCACCAGCTATTAAAATGCACTGTTCCATACCAGCACCCTCCCAGCCAGCCCCGACACAAAACGGCATGAACAGGCCAGCCCCGGCTCCCTGCACACCCATCTGGGACCTTCCCAAGGTAAACGCCTCTCTGGCTTTGAGAACAGGAGGGGAGAGGAGCTGCCTTTGATGGAGAGAGGAACCCCCCCCCCCCCATCGCCACCCCCTCTCCTGACCCCCCAAGGGCTGCAAAGGCAGTCATTGCAGGAAGCAAGACCCCTTTCTCCTCCCCCCACTACCCCCTACCCCAGCAGCGCACAGACAAAAAGGCTCTAGGCTGCAGGCTGTTATGGAGCAGAAAGTAGCACAATGGTGTTGGGCCCGGTTTTATTGCTGCCTTGTGCGGAGATGGGGTTGGGGGGGTCATTTGATGGGGCTGTGTGGAGCTTTTCCCCTTGAAGTGCTTGGCTTCAGGAGGGGGTGTGAGGTGGGGGGTAGAGGGGCGGGAGGGAGAGAAGCAAGTTGGCAAAGGCCAGAGCCATGCTTGAGCTCCTGTGTGATGAGCAGCTGTCTCTGGGGCTGTCGAGCACCAGTTGCTCTGGCAGCAGCGAGGGGCGGATTCCTGCCCCCTCCACCCGGCCCCACTAAAGACCTGTGAAGATCCCCCCATGGCTAATGTTGGCTGTGATCTTTGCTAGCTTTGCTCTGTCCTCCTTTGTGAGGGAGGTGGGGAAGGGGAGGGGAGAGGTTTCCCCTTGTGATCTGCCCTGACGGGGGGCTGCTGAATTGCAAGGGGAAAGGTGGGACAGTCACTCAAGGGGGGAATGGAGCGGAGCCAGGGATTGGGGGGGAAAAAATCAAGCAAGAGAGGCTTGCAGCTGGGCCGGTAGGAGCAGCTGCAGCCACTCACCTAGCAGGGACCCGCCTGGGTCCTACCTGGCACATCAGCTCCCCTAGTGCCCTCTCCAAGCAGAGCACAGAGCCACCCCACTCTGGTCCAGCATGATGCAATGAGCCCTGATGCACGGGGAGCAGAGAGGGTCCCCATTGCACTCGGCCTCTGCAAAACCACCCGTGATGAGCTCTCAGCTTGCTGATTCCAGTGAGAGGAAGCTCGCCAGCACAGTCATATGGGCCGGGAGCTCCCTTGCCAGGCTAGAGGCAATACCTCGCACCTTGGAATGAAATCCTGTTTGCAAAAGGGTGACTCGAGATGCACGCAGTGCACAGGCAGGCATCAAGGCTTGTCAGGACACCAAGTCCAAGCGGTTCTGAGGGCCCGGCCCTCCCTGCTGCATTTGGCTGGATGATCTGTTTGTCGCAGGGTTAAAGGGGAGCTTTCTGCACTCTTTACAAGCAGAAAAATGCCATTTCAAGAGCAGCTATCTTGTAATGCTGTGATGGGCTTTCCCAGACGCATGGCTCCTAGCGACAGAGCCAGATCTGGAGCGCTCTGAATCCCTGTGGAAAAGCTGGCTGCTTATTTCTCTTCTTATGGGAGCAAACTTCTTCTGAGGACCTGGGCCCGAGTGAAAGCTCCAACTCCAAAGACATCCGTGAAATACAGAGACAATGCTGCTACAGGGGGACCCAGTCTGTATTTGTTACCAGTTTTTTTAATGGCTTTTCTCTCTTAAGCAGACAGGCCTGAGCCAGCCAGTGGTCCATATCACCGCTCTGGGAATGTCTTTGATGAGCTGAATTTAAAAAAATCTGTCCATCACCTCCAGCCATTGAAATGGTTTAAGGAAGAAGCTTGCTCCTGTTCCACCCAAATCAGTGGCAAAAAAGCTTGTTGGATCTGGCACTGAATTAGCAGCGGGCAGCCAGGGTCTCAGTTCTGCTCTGTCAACAGCCTGGCTGCAATTCTGGCCAGAAGAAAGTTGACTAATGGACATTATTGTTCCATTGCAGTCAAAGGAGCTACACCCATTTGCACTAGCTGAGGATTTGGCTCTATATATTTGTCCAGATGTCATGTCCAAGCTATAAGTTTTCATTCTGGCTGAGACGGCCCAAGCTCGGGGGTCTGGACTAAAAAGGCTTCAAAAACTCCAGTTGTTGCTGCTAAAAAATCCAACACATTTTAATCTACGTTTCCTATAGAAAGATTTTTGTTTCCCAGTTTAAAAAACATATATGTATTAAAGAGTTTGGACAAATAGAGTCAGTTTGGGGAAAATAAGTCCCGTTTGAGAACTGTTGTTCAAAATAGTGGCTGAAAACCAGCCAAGCAAGCACAGACCACAAGTAGTGATTTACCAACATTGCCCCCAAAAGGACCATTTGTACACAACATGGTTTGAAGCTTTTTTCCTTTTCTTACTGGGCAATTTTGACTCGAGTCATTTTTCACTGGGAAACCAAGGTTTCAGTAAGACAGATGTGAGCGGCTCTAATTTAGATGTCCGAACAGGGCATCCAGATCTTTTAAGCAGCTTTGAAAATCTCACCCTTGGCTCTTAACATCAGGGCTTCCTACTCCACTTGCATAGAGATTAAATGAAGCCCCTTTCATAAAAAGGCCCTGATTGAAGTGTGACTGCTGGGTGATAGCTCTGGCTCTGTAATACAGATGGGCCACAATGCTGATAATCCTCAATCAGCTTGTCTGTGGTAATTAGCTGGCATTTACCATATAATAACTCTTGTGTTGGGGAGCTTGTGTTTGTGGTGGGGCATTAACATGAGTCACAAAGCCCTTTGGGGCACAATACACACTTTATTTAGCAGCCCTGGGAGTGAGCTGTATGTTCTGGGCTGATTCGGTGGATCTGAAGTCCTTCCAGATATAGACATCAACTGCATTGAGCCGGTGCAAAATCGGGTGTCAGTGAGAGGAGAATCCAGTTAAGAGCAAACGCTGATCTTGCTCTTGGTGACATCGGCTGAGTCTGTTGTAATCCCGGCTAGCGGTGGGACACAAGTATAAGTGGTATTTGGCCCTCCGTTTTGCTGGGAGGAGAGGAGAGAGCGCCTGTCCATGCAGCTCACTGGCAGCTTTCTAGCCCCATAGCGCAAAGGCGTTTGTACTCAAACCCGCAAATCTGTCAGTCTTCTCCACCTCTCTGCATTGACAGAAAAGCTTGTCGCTGAATTTGCTACAGCTTAAGATGCTTTCCAGGGGAACTGAGGTGGAGTCTGATGAAAGTGGGGGGGAGCTAGAAATGAGCCGTGGTATTTATCTGATCTGTGATGCTTTGGTTTGCTGCTCAGAAAGAGCCCCCATTCCCTGCACACCTTCTGGGTGCCCCAGTTTTAGCCTGGCCGGTGAAGGCTGCAGTCGAGCTGGCATGCATGGGCTGGTTCGGTTATCACGAGCTCTGTCGACTGGGACATTGCAATGGGTTTGTCAGGCTCCGGGGCTCTGGTTTAACATTTGCTTTGGGATCTTGGAGGCAGTTGGCAGGCTCTGGCATGTCCTGGGACACCGGAGCCCAGCAGTGAAGTTCTGCTTCGCTCTGGGAGTGTCAGCATCAACTGTGGCCCCTGGGACATGTCTGCCTCTCAGTTCGGCAGCTCCCTTGCCGTCCTGCAATGTGCAGTCCTGGTCCGCAGGCCTGGACACTTCTAAGGGTGAGCCTGGCTCCGGCGGGAGTACTGGAGGGCAGTCAGGGGAACATGCAAGACAACAGCACAAGCTCTGCACGCTAAGGCTAAGGGCACCAGCAAGTAGCTTGTGTTTTGACAGATGCCTCAAGCTGGCCTGGGCCTGCTCTGCCCAGCATGGACCTCTCTCACACACTGCTCCTGACTATAATATTTCAGGGACAGGACCTCCCCACCCAGTCTTTTCTGATCCCACACGGAGAAAGACTAGTTAAGTGGAAAGCATTTTCCTTCTCTCCCGCAGCCTATTTCCTTCCTGTTCTCATTTACTGAGGACGGTTATGGTGAGGCTAAAAAAAGAGCTTCATCTGTTTCACTTTCTCCTCCAGTATGCTAATAAGCCCTGTGTTGGAAGTATCATATGAAGGTGCTCAGATACCATGGTGATGGGTGGATGGATAGACAGGGTTGCAATAGATGGATGGATGATTTATATATGGTAAGGCAAAGATGAGATCAGTGGACTATTCCATGTAATATATGAATAGACCGTCTCACCGGTAGAGAGCAGATCGCAGTGAATGGATGGAGACATGGACCAGACACTTGTCTGTACAGAGTGGGAATGCTCTCTCTGTAGCACTGAGTCTTGTTATCACAGGAGAAGACTTTTGGTAGGTGACAAGGTTCATAAACCCATAACTGGGAACCATCCCAAGTGCCCCATAACAGGACAACAAGAGACCCCAGTGAGCTTGTTTCCCAGTAGACCGTGTCTCCAAGTTTTCAACAGGCCTGAGCAAGCTTTGTCATGGTGTATATGATGCCAGATTGTCCCTTGGTAGGGCAGAAATACCTGTGAATTCCCTGGATGGGGTAGGGGAACCATACAAGCATTCCCCCGTGTGTGTGCAGGGCAGATATACCCCAATCTGTCCTCTGCCAGAGCTGCCTAGTAACTCCATTTGTAGCAGCGGGTTTTGGTGAAGTGAGCACTGGAGTTAGAGTGAGGGTTTCTGCTCGAAATGATCATCTCCCTGCAATCCAGTGGCAATGGCCTTGAATCGGTGCCTGCATGGGATGGAGCCAGACCAAGGATGCCCTGGCATCTAGAGTGGGTCTATGAGTTTGCTTGGGGCTCCTCTCCAATGTCCTGGGCTCCTACCCCAACCCAACACATCGACTCCTGCCTAGGGGAACCTCTGCCTTCAGGCCAGGCTGCGGCATGTCTGTGGCCTCCTCTCCAGGGCGCCCACCTCCATCCCTGCCAGGATGTCCGTGGGTTAGCTCCTGGCTCTGAACTCATGCCATCTAGCCAGCACTCTCTGCAGGGCACCAGACCTCCCCCATTGGTCTGCCCAGGCCCTCCCACCCAGGAGGCTCCAGCGTTGGCTCCCGATTCAACACCCTCGCCACGTCTGTGGGGCTGTCCAAAACAAATTGATTTTATTTTTCCCTTTGTAAACAAAGGGGGAGAATCAACCGTCTCCTAATTTTAACCAGTACGTGAGGGACCAGGGCGCCATGACAGACCAGCTGAGTCGGAGGCAGATCAGGGAGTACCAGCTGTACAGCCGGACCAGCGGCAAGCATGTCCAAGTGAACGGCAAAAGGATCACGGCCACCGCAGAGGACGGCAACAAGTTTGGTAAGCAGTCTGGAGCATTTCAGCTGTGTGGGATGAAAAGAGGCAGGCTGGAGGGGTGTCCCATGTGCCAAGGGAATGGCAGACTTTCCGGGGAGGGTTGTATCAGTCACATCTGGCTGCACTGCACCTCTGGAATCGGGTTGGTAAAGCCCATTCCCAACAGTGGGGTACTAGCCCATGCCAAGGGCTGCTAGGCATAGCTGCAGTGCTGGTGATAACGAATAATCATGCAGCAACTTGCTGGCCAGAGCAGGAGACCAGACATCCATGCACCTGGTTTCTGTGCCTAGCACTGGAGAGGAATGAGGTCGAATGATGTTTAAAGCAGGGTAGGGCTTGGGGGGGTTTGGAGCAAGATGTTCACAGCTCTGGTTGGAAATGAGTCCTGGAAGGACTTCAGTCCTGACTTCCAAGATTTGTTCTCAGCGAGTCATGAGGGTGACCACGGAGTAGACATCGTGTTTCTTCTTCAGCGTGGGCAAGGTTGCAACCAGGCGTGAAACACATACTCCAGTCCAACCCGAGCTTTCTCAGGACAAGTGAAATCTTGGCCCTATTGGGAACAGAGGCAAAGCTCCCTGAGGCTTCAATAGGGGCAAGATGCCCCTATTTTGGTTTAAGAATCCAGCATTTACAAAATATCTCCTACCAAGGTTATTGGGGATGATCTGAACATCAGGAGAGAATGCAGTATGTCAAAGGTACAATGGCTTGTTGCAGTAACAATCCAGCTTTGCTCTAGGGACAATAGACCTAGATTCTCATAGGGTGAAATTATGAGCAACTCCAGCTGAGTTTAGATTAGTGCATTATTGGGGGTTAAATGTCAATTAGCAGCAGAAAGGCAGGGCGCTGAGATCTCGTCTGACCTTCAGACACAGCTACATGTAGGTAGCTGGGAAGATTAGTACATTGTCTTCAGCAGTCGAGCTAATCAAAGGGAAGATTTTTAACTGGGTTTAAAATACATCTGACTCCTGCTCTCTGGCTTCTGTGGGAGAAGAAATAAGCCTGCATTGATGTTCCTATTGTTAGACAACGGAACGGGTCGGTTGCCATTCGTGCAGCAGCATCAGGGTAAATGGAAAGGTGCTGCATTATGAATAATACTAAGTTTATCTGGACTTTTAATTATCGCAGGGTTGCACAGAGATGGTAATGCTTTTCAGAGGAGGGTTTATCCAAAGCCAAAAGATAAAAGCAGCCCTTTCGCAGCTTTCATCTGAAAAAAAAAAAGGATAATTAAAAATTGTCCCAGAAGGGGGAATTCCTCTATCTGTTGAGAAATTGGGTAGGATCAGTTAATTAGGTTTCATCAGAAAGGACATGGAAGACAAGCTGTGGGCCGATCAGTGAGGAATATTCAAAAATCTTAATTGTCCCATTGGATGGAAACCTTCTCATTATAAAGGAAACGGTGCACGTTTTCCTGAGAGTGCAGCAGATAAGAGACTTTGCAGACTGGGAAATACAGAACCCACCTCCCTTGGCATGAACTTCCCATGTGCCAGTTTCTGCATGTACCTAGGACTACGTCCAGTCCACAGGGAGAAGGCCTGTCCTCTTGAAGCACCAAGCAGCCACACTTAGGTGCATGAAGCAGGACCAGTGCAGCTTGCCTTTCTTTATCCTAAACTCGCCTTTCCTAATCAGCTTGATTTAGCAGCCGCAGCCAGAGGCCTAAGGGTGGGAGGCAAGTGTCTCATCTGACTTCATTAGAAGTCAGTGCCGTTACTCATCCAGGGCTGAGGTGGAAGCTGCTTGGAGGTGGCATTACCCACAGCTAGAGCTCAGCTTGGAGCTACCTCGTTATTTGAGAGGTGGTGTCTTCTCCCAGGCAGGGATGCATGCATTCAGAAATGTGGGGAAGTCCCTCCCAGTTATTACAAGGGAGTGCATTGATGTGCTCATCTAGAAGAGCCCAGGTTGCTGGTGGGTCCCACATTGCAACAGGGCTCAAAGCTGTACAGTTTTGCCTCCGTGTATATCCATCCATGCGTGCTGCTTCTAACTAGTCGTCTGCAGCAGCAAGCATTACGCTGGAGACGGAGGGCAGAGAAAAAAGCATGCATCCTGCTGGCTTCTCCCTCTAGGCCCAGAACAGTCTCTGGGCTGAAATGCACCCCATAAGCCCCACGGCACCCCTATTTCAAGAGATTAAATACAACAGTCCTAGCACCGAGCAGTGATAAACAACTCCCACACCCTGCATGCCAGGCTTAACCCTTCCCAAACCAGGGGACTGTCTTAAAAATCATGAGATTTTGAAAATGCCACGCTGTGGGGCAGGGGTGCTATTTGCTTGCTGGTTTCTGAGCCTTTAGGTTGCTTTCAGATGACACTTGAAAGCTTTTCTCTGCAACCAGAAAGGTGGAAACCTTGCTTTTTCCCCACTAAAGGAAGTGGAGAGTCCAGCAGCAAGGCAGAAAAACCAGTAAATATGATGGGAATTGTCACTAATGTGGCAATGATTTCAACCTGAGCTTTCTGCAAAAGCCAAAGGCGCAGAGTCCAGCAGTACATTATATTCGCTCCTGGGGAATCCTCCATCACCCACTGTTCAGACATGACACTTTGGGAACTGTTGTGTGTCAGAGAGCTGCAAAGGATGACCTCGAATGTCCTTAACAGAAATGCTCTGTTTCCATGTAAAAGGCAAAGGCTGCTCTAAGCTGCTTGGAAAGAAACTGCCCTGACTTCCCAGCCTGCAGCTACTGCCCTCTTGCACTGCCCCGTTCTCCAGGTGACCTAAGCAAACACCTGTGCAGGCTGCAGGTAACAGAGCACAGAAGTGGGATAGAGCATGGTTTGCAACGATACAGCCTGCCGGCACGTCACTCTAGCCAGTGCTATTCTAGCCAGCACGTGGACAGGCTGTTGCTCGAAGGAGCTCTCTCCTGTCCCCTCTGGCTCCTTCTCTCTCCCCCCACCCCTCTTTCTCTCTCTCTTCCTTTCAGCAAAGCTGATTGTGGAGACGGACACTTTCGGGAGCCGCGTGCGCATCAAGGGAGCCGAGAGTGAGAAGTACATCTGCATGAGCAAGAGAGGGAAGCTCATTGGAAAGGTGAATCACAGACCTAGGACCTCCTCTCCCCCGCCACTGCATGCTGTACCCCAAGCACCAAGCTGGGTCGCTACCCAGGCCCACCACAGATTCCCCATCCCCTGTGGTTTCCCTACTGGGTGCCCCTGGGGAGATGTGCTTCAGCCAAAGGCAGTGGTCACGGCACTTAGCACAAGGATGATGTGCAGTCGAATGGGCTGAATGATCTGGCCTTGAACACCGTGATTCAGGGATGTCTTTCTGTCTGGCTACATGCTGGGGAATGCCAAACCCGAGGAGCCCTAGCATAAAAAGCTGGGCTCTCAACTGATGGAAGTCAGCATAGCTCCATTACAGCCCTAGGTCTGCTGCCCCACATCCAGGCCCTGGTAGCGAATGCACACATTGCACAGGTTCTGGCATCATGGGGAAAGAAGTGGGCAGGGAAAGCTGGGCTTGCCACCATGATGCCTGGCACCCTGGGAACCCTGTCCATTTAACCCTTTCCTTGCTGGAGGAACCTACTTCTTTCCCCCCTTCTCCTTCACCCCCCATCCAGCCCAACGGCAAGAGCAAAGACTGCATCTTCACCGAGATTGTGCTGGAGAACAACTACACGGCCTTCCAGAACGCGCGCCACGAGGGCTGGTACATGGCCTTCACGCGCAAGGGCCGCCCCCGCAAGGCCTCCAAGAGCCGGCAGAACCAGCGGGAAGCGCACTTCATCAAACGCCTGTACCGCGGCCAGCTGCCCTTCCCCAACAACGCCGAGCGGCAGAAGCAGTTTGAGTTTGTGGGCTCCTCATCGCCGACCCGCAGGACCAAGCGCACCCGCCCCCCGCGGCCTCTCACGTAGTGCCACACGCTTCCCCACCCCGCAGGGGACACATGGGATGCCCCCCCTGCTCTGTGTGCCCCCCAGCCACCTGTGCAGCTGCTCCATACCGGGCATCATCAGACAACACTGCCTGCTGTGTGCCCGCCCCCGTGCCCACTGCCCCCGGTGGCACATAGGACTCCGCCTCTCCCACCCCGTGCCTCCCAGGCCCGTGTCGTCATCCCCCGTCCCCCCCCATGTTTCTTACAAAGATGCTATATTTTTATATTCTGACTCTCTTAGGCACAAACTATTGGCTGGAGGGAGCAAACACCTTGGATTGAGGAGGGCATTTCTAGTCTCTATAATCCCAGGCTGGATTTCCCTTTGCCTCCCACTGTCACAATCCCTGATGTTCGCCCATTGCTCCCCTCTGTGCAAGCCCCTCTGCAGGACTGGCAGCCAACGGGCTCACTCCTGGGGGATTTCTTCAGCTCCCACCCTGGGCATTGACATGCCTGTTCCAGCCCAATGGCCACTTTCCCAGCCTGGCAGTGAGCAAGGTTGGTTTTATTATCCCTCGACCCCAACTCAGAGCCCAGCTGCCTGCCACGGAGCGGTCTCGGACTGCGGGATGTCTCTGCGGGGGAGCAGTGCCACAGGACTGGCTGGGGGCTATGGGAAAGGATCCTGGCATGGCCGAGCTCCTAGGCAGTTTCCTTTTGCAGACCGCTGCCGGGCAAGAGACTGCTTTGGTCTGCTCCAAAACCAAGAAATCCAGGTGACTTGGGAACCCTGAAGGGCAGCAGCAGGGCTGAGGACGTGCTGGCTTTCCCGTGCAGGAGCAGGCTGTCATGGTGCTTGTCTCCCTGCAGCCCATTGCCGTGCTATCGGGTGGTGCTGCTATCCCCCCCCGGTACAGATCAGAGTTTGTGGGACTTTCCCAGGGCTCCATGGGGAAATTGTTGACCAAGTAAAGAATTGACTCGAGGTCTCCAAAGCACTGGGACATCTCCCCCTTCTGAGCTAAGCCGCTGCTTTGGCAGAAGTGGGGTCCAGGGGCAGGCCAGTATGGGGGGAGGTCGAGACCTGCTGTTGCAGAGCGAAGGCCCCAGCACTTGTTTCCCCCTTGTTCTACCATTGTCGCAGGCCACTTGATTTTATTTATTGTGTTGTACATGTCCAGCTTCCCCTAGAATCGGGGCGTAGCTGGGTGCTGCGAGAAACCCGGCTCCCAGTCCATTCCCCCAGGTTGTGGGGGGAAAAAGCCCCCACCTCCTATGCCCTTTCCACCTTCTGACACAACCCCCTCCAAGACATTAGGACCCCGTCCCTTCATTTCATTGCCCCACAAACCCCCAGTTGACTAGAAGAAAAACTTGGCTTAACGTCCATGATTGCCCTCTCAGACAAGGAGGGATCCCTGTTAGATTTTTTTACCCGCTCCGTTATTTTCTTCAGGCTTTAAAGGCTTGTCATTTTAGGCCTAAACATTTAGCTTTTGGGATTTGTTGTTTTCTTTTTTTTAAAAAAAAACAAACCTAAAATGAATAAAAATGAACTTCTAGAGAGAGACAGAGCTATTGTAAGTGTCCATCAAAGCAGCATTATGGAGCTGGCTGGGGTGTTCCAGGGGACGCAAGTCTTGCCTTGTCATATTGGGGTCCAGTCACAGCACAGTCAGAGGGGTTGGAGTTTTATTTCCTAAGTGGAGCATAGGGTTAAGAGTGAAATAAGCTGAACGTGCAGCAAAAAGCTGCTTCTCCCCTCTTCCCCAAAGGAGCAATCATGGGTGTCTTTGACCATAAACCCAGGGGGTTCTGTATGTTAAATGTCTTCTTGTTGTAGTGCCATGACATGCTCTAACCACCCCTGCCCCATCTCGCTATAGGTCCTATAGCAGAGTGCTAGGAGCAGGCTTCTCATTCAGCTGTGGAGTGTGCCGGCTTCTGCCCCTGCCTCTGTCCCTGCTTTGCCCTGTGGCTTGAGTGAGCTCTTTACACCCATGTGGCAGGTATCCAGGTTGTAGCTGTACCAATAGAGGCAAAAGGAATCAAAACTCGTGGAAGAGGCGATATCTTTGATTAGACCAACTCGATATTTATTTTGTAAATATGATTTTTCACTTCTACCGAAGAAAACTTTTACACTCCTACGCCGGATGAAGGGAGTGTGCGCCTGAAAGCTTGCAAATAAATACAATACTTTTCTTGCAAAAATCTAGTTGGTCTAATCAAAGATATCACCTCTTCCACAAGTTATTAGACCAACTAGATCTTTGCAACACAAATATTTTATTTATTTGCAAGCATTCGGGCACATGCACGCTTCATCCGGCATAGGAGTGTAAAAGTTCACCTAGGTAGAAATGAAAATTCATATTTACCAAATAAATATCGAGTTGGTCTAATCAAAGATAACTCATGGAACAGGCGATATCAGACCAACTAGATCTTTGCAACACAAATATTTTATTTATTTGCAAGCATTCGGGCACATGCACGCTTCATCCGGCATAGGAGTGTAAAAGTTCACCTAGGTAGAAATGAAAATTCATATTTATCAAATAAATATCGAGTTGGTCTAATCAAAGATATCGCCTCTTCCACGAGTTTTGATTCCTGTTTACACCCGAGCAGCCAATGCATTGACGTCTCGTTAAGTGATGGGAAAGGGAAAAGCCTTTTCCCGTCTCTGAGCTGTCTGGAAACCTTAGTTAGGAGTGGGCTGAATACCTGGCTACTCTTTAGATACAGAGGGATTTGGGAGAGATCAAAGGGCCTGGCTGAAAGCGGGGCGTGGGGCTGGAGCTGTGAGGAGGGGAGAGGGGGCCCACAAGGCCTTGCCAGCCCAGCCAAAGGTGATAAAGCCTCCTCTTGTTCTGGGGCTGGGAACAGGCTCTGGCCCCTCCGAATGAGCAGAGAGGGGCCGTGTGTGGGGAGGCTGCACCTGAAGGGGAAACATTAGACTCCAGTCAATCAGCAGCAAATTAGGAGCCAAGCGCAGTGGCTTCCGCCCGCACACAAAAGGGGAGCTTTGCTCTGCCTCCCGTCCGGCCGCGCCCTCCCCCGGCATGGAGGGCCTGGTGCCTACCACCAGGGCGATCCTGCCCGGGCTTAATCCCCCCGGGGTGGGAGGCATTAGAGGGGATTTGCAGGCTGTGTGTGTCTCTGGCAGCCCGAGCCCTGCAGTGTGCATTGCCTCCGCTGGGGATCAGGTTCGCCTGAGCCGGGGTGTCGCTCCGCACGCGGGAGTGCTCGTGCTCGGGAAGAAGGCATTGATGCCACGCTCTGAGGCAGTGGGAGCTCCCCCTTCTCCGCTCCCATTGCGCTCTTGGCACCCGTACTAGCTTCCCCCTGCTTTGCTGCGGGCAGGCCCTCTGTGCCAAGCGGCCAGAGGGTGGGCGTTTGCTGTCGTCACCTGCTGGGCCTGGGGAGGGGGGGGAAAGCACCGTACCTACACTCCTGGTGGCCCCAGGTGAACTTTTAGTATCAGGCCCCCCTTTGCCAGAGATCACGATAATAATAATCGAAAAATAACCTTTCTACCCGCCTGATTCACCCATGCCTGTGTCCGGCCCTGGCCAGTCCAGCAGGGCATAGGGATGGAGCTGATCCAGGGAGCCTACAACCCGAGTTTGCAGGCTGGCGTTGGTGCAGGGCTTTGGCCAGGCTGGTTTTTGAGCTCTGAGGAAGGAGGGGGACGTCCTGGGCTGTGAACCTCCGCTGTGGACCCCACATCAGATGCCGCATGGGGAGCACTTGGTGGTGTGGCCTGTTTTGAAGGCTGCAGAGAGATGGAGGATGGAGTGCCCTTAGCGGAGTGCCTCTGCAGAGCAGGTGCTCACTGCTGGTCGCCTCCCTCGAGGTAGGGTTGGAAGAGAGGGCTCGGCTGGCATGCCGACGTGCCGCCCTGCTGATCTGCGCAGCACCTCGGGACCCACGCCCTGGACAGTACTGGAGGAAGATGGAGAAGGCAGGGGCAGAATTTATCCTCAGGGTCAGCACCTGAGCTCAGGGTCTTCCTCCAGCCTCACTGAGGTCAGAGGCATCCCGTTCTCCGAGCAGGTGCCTGCTAACTGCTCCCTGGGCAGGGGGTGTGAACACCCAGGCTCCCCCGGGATGGCGAGGCTGCCACAGACACCCCGACTTTTCCCCCTGCAGCTTCGTGTCCCTGCCCCACTGACCCACGCCATCCGACCGCTCCCTGTAATTGCTTTTCCCCGGCACAATAAGCATTTGGGGGTGGGGGGGAAGAATCTTAATCCTTTAACCGGGTCTAAAACGAGGCATTGACAAAGCTCTGCAACTCTTAATGCGGCGCGGAGGCCACTGAGGTGGAGTTGGGGGGGTGGGGGGGAGGGAAAAAAGGGAAAATTATAACAGTTTGAGTTAAATGAACCTTTAAAGCAGGAGGGAAATGCAACACCCAGCAATTACTGCCTAACAATGCAGCCAGGAGCCTGCTCCCAGGTGTGACAGGCAGAGAATTAGCAATGGGGCTGCTTTAATTCCCCCCATCTCCTTTTCCTTCGGCCTCATAGCATTTGGTTCTTGTTTCCACAGGAATCTGAGACATTCTGCTCTAAAGGGGCTTGGGCTGCCTCTCCCGGCTGCCCCCCTCCCCACTTCCACCCAGCTTCAAAGGTGGGGGAGTTCCCTTTGTATAATCTCCGCTTTAATTTTTTTTTTCCCTCTTCCCCCTCCTTTGCCACCCCCGTCCCTCCTTTTATTTTCTGGGGGGTTTTTTCCCCTCCCCTCTCATTCTTCTTGACCTCCCCATATAGAATGGAGTCTGAAGGGTGAGTCCTTTTTAATTATGGCCAGGGAAGAAAAAACTCACACTGTTTCTTTCTTGTTTTTTGAGGTGAGACCTGGGGGGACGGGGGCGGGGTGGGGACTGGAATGTCCTTCTGTGCAAAAAGTGCAGTCAAGGGTGTCCCACCCGGCCGCAGGCTGGGACGCACGGGAGCCCCCATATTAAAAGCAAAATGTCTTTCCCAAGGCTTTTCTCATCGGGCCGCTTAGTTCCTTGCCGACCCTGGCTGGTAGCTTGAAAGGTCTTGTGTGAGCCTGTGTGGGGAGGGGGGTTCTCAAGTGGGAGGTACCCGGGGACCCAGCTGGGAATGGAAGGGTCTCAATGCTGGCCAGATTAACTCGCTGGAAAGGGAAGTAATAATGGCACCTCTCATGCAATTAATAAAGTTAGCAGGGCAGGGAGTCTGGGAATGCGGCTCCGGCGGAATGAAA